GTGTAGTAGTAGTAGTAAGGGGTGTAGTGGTAGTAGTAAGGGTGTAGTGGTAATAGTAAGGGGTGTAGTGATAGTAGTAAGGGGTGTAGTGGTAGAAGTAAGGGGCGTAGTGGTAGTAGTAAGGGGGTGTAGTGGTAGTAGTAAGGGGTGTAGTGGTAGTAGTAAGGGGTGTAGTGGTAGTAGTAAGGGGTGTAGTGGTAGTAGTAAGGGGGTGTAGTGGTAGTAGTAAGGGGTGTAGTGGTAGTAATAAGGGGTGTAGTGGTAGTAGTAAGGGGTGTAGTGGTAGTAGTAAGGGGTGTAGTGGTAGTAGTAAGGGGGTGTAGTGGTAGTAGTAAGTAAGGGGTGTAGTGGTAGTAGTAGAGGGTGTAGTGGTAGTAGCAAGGGGTTGTAGTGGTAGTAGTAAGGGTGTAGTGGTAGTAGTAAGGGGTGTAGTGGTAGTAGTAAGGGTGTAGTGGTAGTAATAAGGGGTGTAGTGGTAGTAGTAAGGGTGTAGTGGTGGTAGTAGTAAGGGGTGTAGTGGTAATAGTAAGGGGTGTAGTGGTAGTATAAGGGGTGTAGTGGTAGTAGTAAGGGGTGTAGTGGTAGTAGTAAGGGGTGTAGTGGTAGTAGTAAGGGGTGTAGTGGTAGTAGTAAGGGGTGTAGTGGTAGTAGCAAGGGGTGTAGTGGTAGTAGTAAGGGTGTAGTGGTGGTAGTAGTAAGGGTGTAGTGGTAGTAGTAAGGGGTGTAGTGGTAATAGTAAGGGGTGTAGTGGTAGTAATAAGGGGTGTAGTGGTAGTAGTAAGGGGTGTAGTGGTAGTTGTAAGGGGTGTAGTGGTAGTAGTAAGAGGTGTACTGGTAGTAGTAAAGGGTGTAGTAGTAAGGGGTGTAGTAGTAAGGGGTGTAGTAGTAGTAGTAAGGGTGTAGTGGTAGTGTAAGGGTGTAGTGGTAATAGTAAGGGGTTGTAGTGATAGTAGTAAGGGGTGTAGTGGTAGAAGTAAGGGGCGTAGTGGTAGTAGTAAGGGGTGTAGTGGTAGTAGTAAGGGGTGTAGTGGTAGTAGTAAGGGGGTGTAGTGGTAGTAGTAAGGGGTGTAGTGGTAGTAATAAGGGGTGTAGTGGTAGTAGTAAGGGGTGTAGTGGTAGTAGTAAGGGGGTGTAGTGGTAGTAGTAAGGGGTGTAGTGGTGTAGTAAGGGGGTGTAGTGGTAGTAGTAAGTAAGGGGTGTAGTGGTAGTAGTAAGGGATGTAGTGGTAGTAGTAAGGGGTGTAGTGGTAGTAGTAAGGGGGTTTATAGTGGTAGTAGTAAGTAAGGGGTGTAGTGGTAGTAGTAAGGGGTGTAGTGGTAGTAGTAAGGGGGTGTAGTGGGAGAAGTAAGAGGATGTAGTGGTAGTAGTAGTAAGGGGTGTAGTGGTAGTAGTAAGGGGGTGTATGTGGTAGTAGTAAGGGGTGTAGTGGTAGTAGTAAGGGGGTGTGTGGTAGTAGTAAGGGGTGTAGTGGTAGTAGTAAGGGGTGTATGGTAGTAGTAAGGGGGTGTAGTGGTAGTAGTAAGGGGTGTAGTGGTAGTAGTAAGGGGGTGTAGTGGGAGGAAGTAAGAGGATGTAGTGGTAGTAGTAAGTAAGGGGGTGTAGTGGTAGTAGTAAGGGGTGTAGTAGTAGTAGTAAGGGGGTGTAGTGGTAGTAGTAAGGGGTGTAGTAGTAGTAGTAGTAAGGGGTGTAGTGGTAGTAGTAAGGGGTGTAGTGGTAGTAGTAAGGAGTGTAGTAGTAGTAGTAAGGGGTGTAGTGGTAGTAGTAAGGGGTGTAGTAGTAGTAAGGAGTGTGTAGTAGTAGTAAGGGGTGTAGTGGTAGTAGTAAGGAGGTGTAGTAGTAGTAGTAAGGGGTGTAGTGGTAGTAGTTAAGGGGTTGTAGTGGTAGTAGTAAGGAGTGTAGTAGTAGTAGTAAGGGGGTGTAGTGGTAGTAGTAAGGGGTGTAGTAGTAGTAGTAGTAAGGGGGTGTAGTGGTAGTAGTAAGGGGTGTAGTAGTAGTAGTAGTAAGGGGTGTAGTGGTAGTAGTAAGGGGTGTAGTAGTAGTAGTAGTAAGGGGTGTAGTGGTAGTAGTAAGGGGTGTAGTGGTAGTAGTAAATAAGGGGTGTAGTGGTAGCTAGTAATGGGTGTAGTAGTAGTAGTAAGGGATGTAGTGATAGTAGTAAGGGGTTTAGTGGTAGTAGTGAGGGGTGTAGTGGTAGTAGTGAGGGGTGTAGTGGTAGTAGTAAGGGGCGTAGTGATAGTAGTAAGGGGGTGTAGTGGTAGTAGTAGAGGGTGTAGTGGTAGTAGTGAGGGGTGTAGTGATAGTAGTAAGGGGGTGTAGTGGTAGTAGTAAGAGGGTGTAGTGGTAGTAATAAGGGGTGTAGTAAGGGATATAGTGATAGTAGTAAGGGGTGTAGTGGTAGTGGCACAACAGACAGAAAGAGGAGTGAAGTGAGGCAAAAGTAGTAGCAGTGGTAGTAGAGTAGTAATAACAGTGGTGCTGGTAGTAGTAACGGTAGTAGTAGTAGTAGTAGAAGAAGAAGTGGAATACGTCTAGGGACAAGAATAGGAGTGCTTCATGAGAGCTAATGGTCAGTCGAATCCCAGGTGACGTCTGGGACTCACACTGTTCCTTGTGTATGCAAACCATCACACCGGATGGACTCGCTCGTACGTAACAGTGTTCCGAGACGGTACATAACTAATGAGGGTAGAAACGGATGAAGACTACAGGTTTATGTATTATGTACCCCATACCCATCCAGTGTTAGGGTATTTAAAAGATTGCAGAGGCGCATAATGGGTCCAGGGACTAGTCCCCATTAACACTGCTTGTAACTACGAAAGTATCACTACTGGCTACAGGAATGACAAAAGAAAGGGTGACATGAGTATAATTCTTATAAATGTAAGTAATGAGAATTATAAAAGCCAGAACCAGAGTCACCTGAGAGAGGAGCAACTTACAAATATAACGACAAAATCCTTGAAGTCAGCAATATGCTTAACCTGTCCAGGAAATGTACATGGAACATAACATCAGCGTCATTCGCCAGACTGGCAACTGGAAAGACAGATTTTAGAAACACAATCAAGGAATGATTCCAAATACTGCGCATCACATACGTAAGACCATCCCTTGAGTAAGTACCCCTGTCCTGTTATGAACTGCAAGGAATGATTCCAAATACTGCGCATCACATACGTAAGACCATCCCTTGAGTAAGTACCCCTGTCCTGTTATGAACTGCAAGGAATGATTCCAAATACTGCGCATCACATACGTAAGACCATCCCTTAAGTACCCCTGTCCTGTTACGAACTGCACGTCACGAATTTACTAAAACACGGAACAAGAGAACACAACTGCGACATTGAGTATTCTCCTGGGCATCTATATGGGGGTAAAAAGACAGGCTGTTTATCACTGGAAAGTCCAGATTGCTCTTTCTATTTCACGAAGCAGCAAACTAGTGTCAGCCATATAGCTCAAGGAGTGCTGGAGGCTCGATCTTAGGTCGGCTTGTTACAGTTGGGTCAGGTTGATGAACATGGCTCTGGAGGGGCTAGAGATTGCCCATTAAAATGGATCAGAAAACGTCAGAAAACACTTCTACAATGTCAGAGTAATCAAGGAGTTGGTTAAGTTAGGTAAGGTTTGTCAGGAAACAAGACAAGTGTTTCCTGACGCGGGTTTTAGTCATATGATGACCCCGCATCTGAAGCTTTCTGGTCATCTGACTGAGGCCTTCCACTGGTTTACCGGTCCACCGATTTAAAAATTATGGTTATAATTATATCAAGTAATGGCTAGGTACTTCCTGCGACACTGAAACCCCGCGAGCCGTTCAGTGCAATACCTCCTGATGACTGGTTCAGTCGTCCGCAAGGTGGCGGCTCGGTATTTATCCAGTCATGAAATTGATAAGGCACAAAAAGTCACAATATCGTAACTGGAACAATACACAAATAACCCGTAAATAGGAGAGAGAAGCTTATGACTATATTTCGCTCTGACTTGGACCATTTACAAGTCAGAAAAGTGACTTGTAAATGGTCTAAGTTGGACCGAAACGTCGTTATAAGCTTCTCTCTCCTATGTGTGGGTTATTTCTATACAAGAAATTGGTAATTGCTTTAAGAAGTGAAAGAAACTGGGAAACGACACAGAGATTTGTTTAAGAATTATCTAAAATCTTTCTCAGCTTTAAAACCAGAAACATTGGAGTCACTATGTCACAAGAGAAAGTTAAAATACGGGTCCTGCAGCTTGAGCACAACATTCCTAAACTCACATAGGTAATAACGCAAATAAACACGAATTCGATACCATTCCCTGGCCTGCAGCTCCGTAATAATAATCAAATTACCACATTTGGCTGGATTTGCCTGTGCAACACACTGACCCACTTCCACAACTCGCCATCACAGAGGCAAAAACATCAAAACATCAGCTGCCATAATTGCACGTTGCCATACTGTTTCACAAAAAGTTTTTCTGTTCCTCTGGCTTCATAAGGCCCCGTTGCGAGGAAGCAAAAAAATGCTTTAAATTTTTGATGGAGGAAGAAGCAAGCGATGATAACACACGAATCCTGTCACTGGGAACTCACGTCATAGTCAGGTGAGTGTACTCACGAAAGGCTCCCTCCTAGACTCCCACCCTTACATCCCCAACCTCCCACCCCAACCTCACAACCCTCACCTCCCCATCTCCCCTCTTCTCCCCACACCCCGACCAGCTGAAGCTCTCTCGTCGAATCAATAACGTAGCTGCTGCCAACGCGCGATCGCGGAATTTGCAGCAAGAGAATTTGTGTTTTCCAGCGGTATCATGGACTGTAGTTTCATTTCCAGTTCGACGATTCGTAATTCAAGGATAAAAATACTGTCTGCTATCATTAGTAAACAATTCTCGTGTGGTGTTTCGCCCGCTGGCTAGATTGTGCGCCGAGTTAGAGAACGGCAGAGAAACCGTCTTGCTTTAAAACATGTGGATGAGCGGGAAAGAGTGTGTTGAGGAACGGTAGAGGAGGCGGTAGCAGCAGTGTAGCGGCGACCCTTAACCAGATGGAACACGTGACACTCCTCGCTAAGCGCCGTCGATTCTCATAATCTCTTCTCTTCCTCCTCCTCTTCCCCCTCCTCCTCCTCCTAATCCTTCTCCTCCTCCTCCTCCTCCTCCTCCTCCTCCTCCTCCTCCTCCACTCTTCCTCCTCCGAGTTTCTGCGTCACCTCTGTGGTCGAGTGAGCTGCGTTCTCACCACCTCCTTCAGAAGCCCTAAGACTATGCCTGTTTGGGGACGTCCGTCCCGTTTTGTCTTCCAAGACACGATAGTAAATGTTAGTGTTGTGTTAATGTTAATTAGTCCATCGTAGTGTCTTCAGTGTGGTGGTGTTAAAGGTCCTCTTGACAAAGAGCTCAATAGTGCTAACAATGCAACTTGTAATGGTGTGCACCATTAAGTAATCTACGTAACTGTATCAGGGAAGAATACTGAACCTGCCTGACTGCCTGTGTGTCATAAGTTATCAGGTGTTTGGGTAAGTTATGCTGTGAGCTGAGACCAATAATCCCAAGGTTGCTGGGTCGAGTTTTAGCTCCTGGCCCCTGTGTGTGTGTGTTTTGTTACTAGTTACTAGTAGTTAAAGGCACTTGTTGATGGGCATGGGGTCTATGTGTGTTTGTGTGTGTGTTTGTGTGTGTGTGTGTGTGTGTTTGTTTATGTACTCACCTAATTCACCTAATTGTGGTTGCAGGGGTTGAGACTCAGCTCCTGGCTCCGCCTCTTCACTGAACGCTACTAGGTCCTCTCTCTCCCTGCTCCATGAGCTTTATCATACCTCGTCTTAAAGCTATGTATGGTTCCTGCCTCCACTACATCACTTGCCAGACTATTCCACTTCCTGACTACTCTATAACTGAATAAATACTTCCTAACATCCCTGTGGCTCATCTGAGTCTTCAACTTCCAAGTGTGACCCCTTGTTTCTGTGTCCCCTCTCTGGAACATCCTGTCTCTGTTCACCCTCTCTATTCCACGTAGTATTTTATATGTCGTTATCATGTCTCCCCTGACCCTCCTGTCTTCCAGTGTCGTCAGGCCGATTTCCCTTAACCTTTCTTCATAGGACATTCCCCTTAGCTCTGGAACTAATCTTGTCGCAAACCTTTGCACTTTCTCTAATTTCTTGACGTGCTTGACCAGGTGTGGGTTCCAAACTGGTGCTGCATACTCCAGTATGGGCCTGACGTACACGGTGTACAGAGTCTTGAACGATTCCTTACTAAGGTATCGGAACGATATTCTCAGGTTTGCCAGGCGCCTGTATGCTGCAACAGTTATCTGGTTGATGTGTGCTTCTGGAGACGTGCTCAGTGTTGTACGTACCCCAAGATCTTTCTCTTTGAGCGAGGTTTGCTGCAATCTTTGGCCACCTAGCCTATACTCTGTCTGCGGTCTTCTTTGCCCTTCTCCGATCTTCATGACTTTGCATTTGTCGGGGTTAAATTCGAGAAGCCAGTTGCTGGACCAGGTGTCCAGCCTGTCCAGGTCTCTTTGAAGTCCTGCCTGATCCTCAGCTGATTTAATTCTCCTCATTAACTTCACACCGTCTGCGAACAGGGACACTTCTGAGTCTATCCCTTCCATCATGTCATTCACATATACCAGAAATAGCACTGGTCCTAGGACCGGCCCCTGTGGGACCCCGCTCGTCACAGGTGCTCATTGTGATACCTCATCACGTACCATGACTCGTTGTTGCCTCCCTGTCAAGTATTCTCTGATCAATTGCAGTGCCCTTCCTGTTATACGTGCCTGATCCTCTTGCTTCTGCACTAATCTCTTGTGAGGAACTGTGTCGAAGGCCTTCCTGCAGTCCAGGAAAATGCAATCATCCCACCCCTCTCTCTAGTGTCTTACTTCTGTTACTTTATCATAAAACTCCAGAAGGTTTGTGACACAGGATTTCCCTTCCATGAATCCATGCTGGTTGTCATTAATAATCTTGTTCCGTTCCAGGTGCTCCACCACTCTCCTTCTGATAATCTTCTCCATGACTTTGCATACTATACACGTCAGTGACACTGGTCTATAGTTTAGTGCCTCTTTTCGTCTCTTTTTTTTAAAAATGGCAACTACATTTGCCGTCTTCCGTACCTCAGGTAGTTACCCAGTTTCAAGGGATATATTGAAGATTTTTGTTAGTGGCACACACAGCATCTCTGCTCCTTCTTTAAGGGTCCACGGAGACATGTCTGGTCCCACCGCCTTTGAAGTATGAAGTTCACATAGCAGCTTTTTCACCTTCTCGGTTGTGTGTATATCATCCAGCACTTGCTAGTGTATCCCTTGTTGGTGTGTCTCCCTGTTCCGTCTTCCTGGAGTCTTTCCTGTTTCCACTCTAAATACTTCTTTAAATCTCATGTTGAGCTCCTCACATACTTCTTGGTCATTTCTCGTGAGCTCCCCACCTTCCTTTCTCAGCCTGATTACCTGGTCATTGACTGTTGTTTTCCTCCTGATGTGGCTATACAACAGCTTTGGATCAGACTTTATTCCCAATGCTATGTCATTTTCGTATTGTCGCTGAGCCTCCCTTCTTATCTGTGCATATTCATTTCTGGCATTTCATCTAATCTCTCTATTTTCCTGGGTCCTTTTTCTTCTGTACTTTTCATTCTCTAATACACTTGGTTTTCGCCTCCCTACACTTTTGGGTGAACCAAGGACTTGTTCTGGTCTTCCCATTATTCTGTTGCCCTTGGGAATAAACCTCTCCTCTGCCTCCTTGCATTTTGCTGTCACATAGTCCATCATTTCTTTTATTAATTTTCCTGCCAATTCTCTTTTCCACTGAACGTCTTGCAGGGTCTTGCTGGCTCATCCTCACCTCTCTCTCTGGTGGTGTCCCTAACATGTTGCTGCATGAGGTTTGCCAGTACTACATCCATCATCTTGGCTCTCCATGTTTCGGGACCCCCATGGGGCTCCAGGTTTTCCCAGTCAATCTCCTTGTGATTGAAATCACCCATAACTAGTAACTTTGCTCTACCCATGTGAGCTCTTCTGGCCACCTCGGCTAGTGTGTCCACCATTGCTCTGTTGCTCTCTTCGTATTCTTCTCTTTGCCTCTTGTAGTTCTGTAGTGGGCTGTACATCACTGCAATTAACCACCTTAGGGCCCCCAGACTGGATTGGTCCTACTATGTAGTCCCTTTCGCCCATTCCATCCATTTCCTCAAATCCCCACCGTGTGTGTGTGTGAGTGTGTGCACTCACATATATGAGGTTGCAGGGGTCGAATCTTAGATCTTGGGCTCACCTCTCAACTTACCGCTTGCCAAATTTACACCATCCTAGCCTCGGGGGCTCTATCGTACCTATTCTTAAAACTATGTATGAAGCGACTGCCTATAATTCCTGACTATCCTGAGAGTGAAAAAAAATACTTCCTGACATCCCTGAAGTATATCTGTGTTTTTAACTTCAGTCTATGCCCTCGAGTTTCTGATTCTCATGGTGTTATTATGTCTCCGGTGAAAATTCTATCCTCTGATGTCGCCAGATTCAGTTCCCTTAGTTTTTTTCCCTAGTTCGTTCCCTTTAGCTCAGGAATCAGCCTCCTAGTATACCTCTGCACTTTCTCCAGTTTCTTAACATGCTTTTTCGGGCGTGGGTTCGATACTGGTGCTGCGTACTCCAAGATGAGCCTGACACAAGTTGTCTCAAGGGCCCGGAATGACTGTTGAGATTTCTGACGGTTACTCTTAGACTGGCCATACGAGAAATGGCAACAGTGATTATTCATCTGATGTGAGTTTCTGGCAATATACCAGACTCTAGGTCTTCACCTTTCAGTTAGGTCTATACTCCGTGTCCAGTCTTCTTGCCCTTCCCTAATCTTTATAACCTTACATATTCCGGGACTGAATTCAAGCAATCACTTATCTGACTAATCTGGCAGATTATCTATATCCATTTGCAGTGTTTCTCTATCCTCATCAGTGTAAATTCTCAGTACGAGTTGTGCATCATCAGCAAACAATGATATATTTGATTCAGTCCTTTCTGGTGAATGTGTGTGTGTAGTAGTACTAGTAGCAGTAGTAGTACTAGTAGTAGTAATAAGAGTAGTAGTAGTAGTAGGGATGGTAGTTATCTGTTAAAGGCTCTTACCAATAGGTATTTGTTTTGTTTTTGTGGGTGTACTCACATATATGTGAATGCAAAGGTAGAGTCTCAGCTCTTGGCCCCACCTCAGTGCTACTAAGTTCAATCACTTCTGGTTTTGAGAGCCTCTCCGTACCTCTTCTTAATGTAATGTGTGGATCCTGCCTCTACCACTTCGTTCGTGAGCGCGCGCGCGTGCGTGTGTGTGTGTGTGTGTGTGTGTGTGTGTGTGTGTGTGTGTGTGTGTGTGTGTGTGTGTTGTGTGTGTGTTGTGTTGGTGTGTGTGTGTGTGTGTGTGTGTGGTGTGTGTGTGTGTGTGTGTGTGTGTGTGTGTGTGTGTGTGTGTGTGTGTGTGTGTGTGTGTGTTGCTGAGTGATGCAACACAAAGAGATTTACCAAAAATAAAACGCCAGGTCTTTCCATTGTTGTTCTTCGTGAGAGGAAAACTTAAAAAGACCATCAGTATAGTGGATAAGTTCCCCACCACAAGACTGGCAGGGAGAAAATTCGTTGATTTCTTAATGGAGTTTAAAGCCTATCGATTACACGAGGGTCATTAAGGCTGCATGTATCCTGTTCACCACCAGTCAAAAATACTTTAGTACCTAAAGGATTAAATTAAACTTTTAGCGTATATACACAAAGAGACACTCTCCTCTCAGTGTTGAATGATAACTCTAGGTTCCACTGTACTAATCCGCTTGGGCATCCTACTCATTTCTGCATCATTTCAAGCTCCTAATGTGTTCATTGCAACACGAAAGGCACAGAGGCCTCATTCAGTTCCGCTGTGGTTGTTTTGCATCTTATAAAAGGCAAGCCACGTCGGATGGAAATGTTCGGCTCAGGAACTTTCACAAGTCTCCGTGAGTCATCAGGAGCTATGCAAAATTGCAAAAGTAGCAATAAGAATAAGGGAAAGTTTTCTCTGAGTGAAATGGAGTGGTGACACTAGCAGCCTGCACTCTGCCTGCACTCTGAAGAAGGGGTGTTAACGTTGCATTTTTGTAACTGTAGCATAAGAGAACATATATATAAGAGAACCTCTGGCAAGACAGTGATGGAATGAATGATGGTAAAAGATTTTCTTTTTCGGGCCACCCTGCCTTGGTGGCAGATGGTCGATGTGTTAATAAAACACACACACACACACACACACACACACATATCAATGAAATATAGACTGCTTGTTGAGGTGGGTATTCAAACAGGAGGAGGCTGAAATTAATCCTCGAGATACCACTGCCACGAATGTCCTCGGATCACTAGAAAAACATGTAGCTTAGCTGCATGCGTAATTCTTGTAAGATCGCTGGCTCAAGTGGTAAGGCGATGTGTACATTATGCTGTCTCTGGAGGCGGTACAAG